GGGTCCTCAGGCCTGCGGAGGTGCTGGGCGAGGGGGAGTGTGCCGGGGTGCCGTCACCTCACAGCGAGGGAGCTGGCTGGGGACGGTCCCAGCAGTTTGGGGTGAGCCCTGAACAGGCTTTGGGGTGGCTGCTGTACCCCCAGGGTTCGTACTCCCCTCCCGTGACCCTGCTGCTCTCTGCCCTTTGGTAAAGCTGGGGCAGTGAGCCGTAGGAGAGCACTCCTGGGCTCAGGAATGCTGCCTGGCTCCCTCCCTCAGGTGTGGGATGTTCCTCAGTGGGTTTCCTGGGACCCTCTGCAGAGCAGCCGTGTCCCAAGAAAGGATGGGGTTTAGGCAGCCCCGTCTGCCCTGTGCCCTCCAGCACAAAACCAGAGAACTGACTTGGTTCCCCTCCCCTCTCTGCTGGCAGAGGCACAAGGGTCCCTAGAAGATGGGCGACTGGGGTTTCCTGGAGAAACTGCTGGACCAAGTCCAGGAGCACTCGACTGTGATCGGGAAGATCTGGCTCACCGTGCTCTTCATCTTCCGCATCCTCATCCTGGGCTTAGCCGGGGAGTCTGTGTGGGGGGACGAGCAGTCAGACTTCGTGTGCAACACCAAGCAGCCGGGCTGCACCAACGTCTGCTATGATAAAGCCTTCCCCATCTCCCACATCCGCTACTGGGTGCTCCAGTTCCTCTTTGTCAGCACCCCAACCCTGATTTACCTCGGCCACGTTGTCTACCTCTCCCGGAAGGAGGAGAAGCTGAAGCAACAGGAGAGCGAGCTTCGGGCTGTCCACAGCAAGGACCCAAAGATCGAGCAGGCTCTGGCAGCCGTGGAGAAGGAGATGTCCAAGATCTACGTGACGGAGGACGGGCGGCTCAAGATCCGAGGGGCGCTGATGTGGACGTACATCATCAGTGTGATCTGCAAGAGCATCTTTGAGGCTGGCTTCCTTGTTGGCCAGTGGTACCTGTACGGCTTCTCCATGGTGCCCCGCTACGTGTGCAAGAGGGACCCCTGCCCCCATCAGGTGGACTGCTTCATCTCCCGCCCTACCGAAAAGAGCATCTTCATCATCTTCATGCTAGTGATGGGCCTGATCTCCTTAATCCTGAACCTCCTGGAGCTCTTCCACCTCTGCTGCAAGAACCTGCTTAGCAACATCAAGAAGGTGTCGGGGCCGGCTGGCCCGAGCCGGGACGCCTTTGCCAACGGCATGGTCTCGGGTGCCTACCCCCCCAAGCACTACCCCTTCTTGCCCATGGACGAAAGCCACACGCCGCCCTACCAGGCCTACAACAAGCTCTCCAGCGAGCAGAACTGGGCCAACTTCCACAACGAGGAGAACCTGGCGCTGAGCAGCGGCAGCAGGCCCCTGTCAGACCCCTATGCCCCCAGAGCTCCCGAAGCCCCCACCCCGGAGGAGAAGCTGTGCAGCCGGCCCGGGAGTTCAGCCTCCAAAAAGCAGTAT